CTCACACAGGCCAGCTGACCCGGCAGGACGTAGTGCTGGGCTCGAGACACAGAATGCGCGACGCAGCGCCGTATTTTGTAATGGTAAATGACATCTAGAACGGCCGCTTGTTTCTCACATTAACCCCTCTTCACGGGCTGGGTAGAGCTCAGTGCCCAAGCACCCGGCTAGCAGGCAAGGCCCTGGGTTTAATCCCAAGCACTGAAAAATCCCTATTTGCCTTTTTAAAAAAACCACCATTAACAGCTACTTTAGCATTTAAATTCTGCTTTATGGAAAAGACAAATACTCAGACAACATGCTGAGGCAACGGTGTTTCTGGGGGAGGGTTCTTTCTGAGACAGCGTCTCGCCGTGCAGTTGAGGCTGACCTTTGTCAGCCTGGTCATGAGGCTGGTCACTCTGTAGCTCAGGTTGCTTTCAAATTCGCAATGACCCTCCTGCCTCAGCCTCCTGAGTGCTGGGATTGCAGACGTGCACCACCACGCCTGGCTAGATGACGTGTTTTTATTTGCTTTATCAAGCGTGTTCCCCTTCCTCCATACAGACTTGGTAATTATATCAGAAAAGTTATACACATCACAGCCCTTTACTCCTAAACACTTCATTGCGTTTACTAAAAACAGGAACACTCTCCTACATCACAAGCCAACCGCCACCTCCATAAAGTCACATCACTATAAGACTTGGCTGCTCCTACCCCACCCCGTCGCCTGGCCTGCGCTTCCATGGCTTTCCTCCCCGCTCCAATCCAGGGTCCAGGTCAGGGCTTACGTTTCTTGTCATGTCTCTGCAGTGCAATTCACCAGAGGATGAAAATAAATGCTCACTGTTATATTTCAGAAGCACTGTATGATCCTGAGGTGCTTTCGAAGGCATAATATATGAATCATTTATTTCATTTATTCATAAATCAGAAAAAATAGCCCTAAGCTTACAGAGAAAAATGACTTCAGACAAAGCTGCCTAGGTCCTTCCACAGGGAAGGAGTAAACCGTTCCAACAATGACACTGGAATAAATGACACCTGCATGTGAGAAGAACGTTTACTTGTCACCTCACTTCCTGCACAGAGAAACTCAGAGTGGATCATGGATTTAATTGGTAAGGGCTAAAACGATACAGAATCTCTAAAGATATTTTAAAAAAGAAACCTCATGGGCTTAGTGGCGCATGCTTCTAATCCCAGCACTCAGGAGGCTGAGGCAGGAGGACTGCTGCAAGTTTAGGGCCAGCTTGGGCTACAAAGTGAGCTCAAGGCCAGTCTGAACTGCATAACAAGACCCTGTCTCAAAAAGACAAAAAATGAATAAAAATAAAAAAACACGAACCATGAAATAAATTATAAAACTGGACATCACAAAACAAACATCTTTTCTTCAAAAGATATGATTAAGAAAATGAAAACACAAGCCACAGACTAAGAAAAAATATCTGCAATACATACATTTAACAAAAGGCTTGTCTCTAAAACATGTCTTACACCTTAAGTAAGATAAACAGATCAAAAAATCGCACAAAAGACTCAAACCGACAATTTACCAAACAGAGACCAAGATGTGCAAGGATACACAAGACAGCTGGCGGTGTCATCGGGGCTACAGCAAGTGGAATCTACTACTAAATCTGGGCTGGGTTACGAACAAATGAATGCTTGTACACCGCTGGCGTCATTATAAATGGCCTAACCACTCCAGAAAAAGCTGGGTAATTTTTATAAAATTAACCACACGTTGACCTGTGAGGAAGCCACTGTACTCCTAGGTATTCACCCAAGAAACAAAACATCTGTGAATACGCTCACAGCTGGTTTTCTGTAACAGCCAAAACCTGGAAACAACTCAAATTTCCACCAGCAGGAAGGGATAAACTGCGCGGAATCCTCACGCTGGATTGCTACCCAGCAGTCAGAAGGAATGAATTCGGACACGTGCGAACCAGGTGGAAGAGGCCTGGACAGACATACTGCGCGAGTCCCTCTACCTGGGACGCGGGGCGCGCGCGCATCTGCAGAGAAAGCAAGCGGCCTGGCCCCAGTCCACCCCGGCTGGGGTGCGGCATGCGAGTGGCCCGGAAGCGGGGCTTCGAGGCCTCGGTGTCCCACCCCCCAGCTACCGCGGTACCTGCAGGTGCACGCACTTGTCAGCTCTCTCCTCACGGTTAAGCAGGTTCACCTTACTGTACCTGCAGAGATGAACTTCTACAGCACAGCCTCAGAACAGCGAGCAGTCAGGAGGCGCCCTCGGAGGCAGACGGCAGGGGACCTGCTGAGGTGGCGACGACTGAACAGACCTCGTGCTGAGGGGAAGCCCTCAGGAGGGCTCGCACCGCACTGGCAGCACCCCCAGCCGTGCGCACCTCCACCCGCCACCTCTGCCGCCCCGCGCCTGTGCGAGGCAGCGCATCGCCCACGCTCGTTTAGAAGCCTGCACACGGAGCCTCCGACACCTGCTGGAGACACAACACGGGCGCTATGCTTCCGGACCATTCCTAAACCAACCGCCAGCTCTCACCCGGGTTCCAACCCGGCCCTGGGTTCAGGAAAGTGTTGGGACGCAGTGTTTTTGAGACAGGGTCTCACTATGCAGCCTGACCTCGAACTCATGGCGATCCTCGTGCCTCCCAAGTGCTAAGATTACGGGC